CTATCGCCAGCAGTTTCACCCCCCCTCCCCTCTTTAGGGCCACGGGTGACAAAAACAATCGCCGCGCCGCCGCCACCTCACCTGGGAGGGCATGGGACGGGGGAGTGGGGTCCCTTCCCGGGGCAAAGGGGCAGCGCCGCCCTTCAGGCCGTCGTGATTACAAGCCCCAAACCCAGGGACCATCCCAGCTCAGCCGCCATCTTAGTCCCCGGAAGACACTCAGATCATCCAACTGCGGGCGGAAAAGCTTCTTTCTCGCAGGTCGTGGGCGGAAATGCATGCCGAAGCTAGACGTAAAAAAAGTAGAGATGCACGCCTCTACACGAGTAGGACAGGTTGGGAGGTCCGTATTTGCACCTTGTTGGCAGGCTTGAATTAGAATCTGCATCTTATTGGAGAGGGGGCGAGCAAAAACCAAAGGAATCTGAATTTCCCTGAGCAGGACTGGATGTTATGCCTGAAGGTATAAAGGCGGTCATACAGAGAAGTGGCAGGATCTATTCTCAGACATTCCAGAGTTCAAGACACAACAATGGGCTTAAGTTATAGGAAGCCAGATTTTGGATGAATACCAGGAAAGAATTCCTAACTATTAGAGCAGTACAACAAGGGACCCACGTTTATTTTAAATAAATAATATAAATAATTTTATATGTTTGTGTTGGAGGGCTGAATCTACATAGTGAATTTCTGAAATGCATACAATTATGTTGATATTATATTATAAATTTATATAATATACATTATATTATATTGATATTATATGAATTATATTATGCAGATATTATAGTGTCTATAACTATAGCATTTGTATTGATATTGTATTTTCAAGATTCTCCTGTGTAATGGATACCCAACCCAGCTGAGGAAGATAACTTGTCTGACTTTGAAATCAAAGGGACGCTGGAACTTTGCGGATTCTGCAAGTGACTTCCGCACTGACACTGTTGCCAAGGTCTTGGATGTACAAATTATAGCATTTAGTTGTTACTATTGTTCATGCCGTCTGTTATATGAATGCAAATAAGAAGGGACTTGTTTCATGAAACTGGGTATGCAAGATTCATCAATAATAAGCAAACAGTGCCACAGAACTTAAAAGTATTACACATACAGTTATGCATAGGGTGGAGAAAGCAGCTCTCATAATACAAAGATGTCATCCATTGTAGCTAAATGGCCAAGAAATAAAGATTCAGATTAATTGATTTTAATTTTAAAATGTGTATTTGTGTATTTATAAGATGTATTTATTTAAAATAATTTTACCCTGCCTTTCACCTTAAAAAGGACACAAGGCATCATTAACAGACAATATATAAAACTACAAACAATAATTATGCAAATATTAAAGAGAAACAAACAAGTATCACACTAAAAAATGGTCATCAAAAGCAACTCCTAAACCACATTCAAAGCAGTAAGACACAACAATCCATTTAAAAATCCCACATAGGCAGCCAGTCACTGCCAGGAAGCTTGCCTGAAGAGAAAGGTCTTTGTCTGCTGATGGGGCCAGTCTGGCCTCCTGTGGGAGGGGGTTCCAAAGTCTGGGAGCAGCAACAGAGAAGGCCCTGCCTCGTGTCCCCACCAAACACACATGTGAAGGTGGTGGGGCCGAGAGAAAAGTCTCCTAGTGGTATTAACACTCAACCGGGCTCATAATTTGAGAAAGTTGAACCAAAGCCTCTTAGGGCTTTATGGGTGAGAACACCAGCACTTTGAATTGTGCCTATAAATGGATTGGCAGCCATTGAAGCTGCTGTAATGTAACAGAAGGGTTATATGATCCCAGTAACCAGCCCCATTTAGCAATCTGCCTGCTGCATTTTGGACTGGTGAAGTTTCCTGACATTTTCTATAGGCAGCCACATATAGTGTTACAGTAATTCGGCCAGGATATAACTAAGGCGTTTCTCTGTGACCAGATCAGATCTCTCCAGGAATGGCACAGTAGTTTTAATTGTGCAAATGCACTCCTGGCCACTGCCGAAACCTGGGCATCCAGGCTCAGAGACGAATCCAGGAGCACCCCCAAACTGTGCATCTGTGTTTTCAGAGGGAGTGTAATCCCATCAATTGTTCTGTGCCATTAGGTTGCCTCCACCTTCTGGTGACCCTGTGGATCTCCAAAATGTCCTACAGTATTATTAACAGTTCTGCTTAGCTCTTGCAAAATCAAGGCTGTGCTGTCCTTTATGGAGTCAATCCATTTCATATTAGATCTTTCTCTTTTCTTGCTGCTTTAAACTTTTCCTAGCATTATCATCTTTTCTAGTGCGTCTTGTCTCAAAGTACAACAGCCTCAGTTCTGAAAGGAGCCTTGTAGCGCAGTGGTTAAACTGCAATACTGCAGCCAAACCTCTGCTCACAAACTGAGTTCAATCCCAGGTAGCTGGCACGAGGTTCACTCAGTTTTCCATCCTTCAGAGGTTAGTAAACTGAGTACCCAGCTTGCTGATGGGGACAATGGGGCAATGTGTAGTCTGCATAATTACATTGTAAAACACTCAGAGTGCTTGAAGTGCTATGGGAAAG